TTAAAGAGCCCATAATAAAATGTTTGGCATTTGGCACTTAAGTCCAGGATTATGATTAAGAACCTTGATCTGGGAGTCATCAGGGTACAAGCCTGGATTCTGATCTGTTTGCTTTGCATAGCTTTCTCCTCATCTCAAAACTCAGTTTACTCTGAAAAACAGACAACGCTAATAGCTTTGCTAATATAGAGCACATGGTCCTTAGTAAATTCTAAATTAAGGGTAACATGCTCTTATAGGGAAGGCAGAAATAGAGACATGCCCCCCTCCTTTTTCCTTTAGTTTTCACTTTCAGTGACAAACTCTACAGCAGTCATGCTCTGTGTTGGCGCTTGGCATTTATAAATGAACCAAACAGACACATATGTGGGAAACACAAACATTGAATGAATTATTGCTCTAGTGATTGCTCTGCATTTTATGACAGTGAGTATGATGAATATAGGAGAGAAAGATTTTTCAGTGCCCAGGGTTGTCTTGGGTGATCAGACAAAGGTGTCTGGGGTAATGTCTTTAGAATAATCCTTTGAGGGTGTTCCTAAGCCCAAAGCATTCTCCCCAGTGCAACCCTGGCTAAGGTTATGGGAGACTCCCTGCCTTCCTTCTGCATTTGGGCTTTCCTCTTTCATGTATGTTCTTTCTTTTTTGGGTGAAGTTGAATGAATAGAAAAGAAGAAAAATAAGCAATGAAAGTAAATAAACGTCAAGTTTCTGGGCACATATGAAGCCCTTTTCTCATCACACCTAGCTGCAGGCAGATAGAAGTGTGATAGAAAGGTCATCTGACCAGGGACTGAACAGAGAGCCCAGGGCAAGGCAATTCCTGGTCTGAACCTCAACTTTTCCCTTTGCCCAGTGTTCCCAGACACCTCATTGTCCTGTAAAAGAGCTCTTATGCACTTTCATTGTCTGGTTCTAGGGACTTAGAACTTCGAGGTGTATGCTAAGTAGATGTAGGTTGTGTGCAGACTTGCATGTGACTTCCCATCTTCCATCTAGAGGATATGTCCTCTGGTATCATCCTCTACTTCCACACAGATGGTCAGATGGTGCTGACTTTAGATTGATTTACATCATTAAACAACAACAACAACCACAAAACCAACAACAACTATGTCTATCATACTTGAAAACTGTGAGGAAGACCAGTGTGGTGTATAGGGGTCCTCTTGTGTTCTCTGTTCTGTGTCTTCTATGTAGATACACAGAGAAGAGGAAGACCTAAGCATACAAGAACTGGGAGTGACTGAAGGCATCCAATTCAAATCAACACATATTTTTGAGCACCTTCTGCTTAACAAGGAATCATTCTAACAGTGAACAAAAGAGCTCTTAAATTCTAGTAGGGGATTATTTTATCCAGACCACTCCTTTTATAGCAAAGTGAAATGAAGCCCAGGAGCATGAAGAGGGTAGTATAACTTATCCCAAGCAAGATTCCCTGGCAAGTCAAGCACAGATCTCTGGTGCTAAATTCCTGGTTCTGGACTGGTCATGCAAGGGTGCTTCTCTTTCAGCCCCATGAAATGTGACTAATGTTGATTAAGTTATTTTCATACAGAAATAGATCCCAGTCTCTACTGTACTCCCCCTTCCCTACTGAAGCTCAGTAGTTTCTTTTTGCCACTTACCCTCCACATAAATGTTTTCCTCTGAACTTCTGAAGCCACCGTTTCAAGGTTCTCATTTTCCTTAATGTGTTTCTTTTTGGTACCTCTGCAAACCCTTTCTTTGCCCTCCTCTGCCTCCCAGTGCTAAGCCATTCCTCATTCTTCAGTTCTGTGTGGCAGAATCTGGCCTTTCTCACTTCTCTCTCCAAAGAGAATCCAAGTCCCAAGCCCCAGGAAGGCTTTAAATGGAGGACACCCTGCAGATGTGTGAACATTTTACCTTGCTCACCGGGCTAGCTGCTGTCCAAAGGCAACAAGAAAATCAAGGACCGGGAACCCCTGGCAAAATAAGAACCGAACCTGGATGGAAAGAGAGAGAAAAAAGAGAAAGGGGAAATGGATCCTGTTTCAGATTTTAATTTTCTCACTAGAAGGACCTTCACTTTTTTTTTTTTTTCAATGGAGGAAGTGGTTGAAGGGGGTGGAATGGGTGAAGAAGGTGAACTAAGAGGTGGATGGGACGACTCCAGAAATCTGTGCTCTTGTTAATTCTCATAATGTGCTGCCATAGATAGATCTGGGGCAATTCATTCCAAATATGGAGTCTGATCTTTGGCTTTGGAGGGAGTCAGTGGGGAGGCAGCTTTAATATACAGTCTCCTAATATCATCTAATCTTGACAGGAATTTATTATTTTTAAGTAGGGTTTGCCTCTGGGTTTGAGGAGAACTAGTGCTTTTTTTGAGACTTCATCCCACTAGCTCTTGAAACATCAGGCAAGATGTCCTTAGGGTACCTTCCCTTTTTGGCCTCTCTGTAGTTTGTTCCAGTCATTTCCTACTTTTCATCCTCAACATCACTTCCTAAGCCCTCCAGCATCTTAAAAATGAACTCCCATGTGGACAGACATTGTATGCCAAGGATGCTATATCTAGTCTTTTAAATGTGCTGACATATTTAAAGAGAGATACAGATACATGGGGAGATTAAGATCCACAGTGATGAACTGATTTTGCCTAAGATGAACAGCTAGTAATGCTGTCATCAGAATTGAAAACAGATTACTTTAGTCCAAAGATTCTGCTCTTTCTGCCCTACCAAGAATACATCTTTTCCTCTTATTCTCTGCCCTTTAGTCTTAGAAATATAAGTTAGTGTCTTTGAGTTCATTGAGCTTAAAATCTCTATCTTTTCCCTTCTCCCGTCCTATTTTTAACCATTCCCATGCTTATTCCTGAGACATGTACTAAGTGTGTGTTGTAGCAAGGTGCCAGGCAGGTTACAGGGATGATCCAGACACCCATGGTCATTACTCTCAAGAAGCATTCAGTCTGATCGAGAGGAAATAATGGTGATGACACAAGCAACTCTAAAACCAGAGAATAAGTGTCAAGTTTCCTGAAAGTAAAACTGGTTCAGAGCAAATATTACTACTTACAAAACTATCAGAAAGGGCTTCTTGAATGAGGCATGCAATGTGTTAGTCACTGAGAATCCTAGAATAAAGAACATCACACTTGCACTGAGTATGGGACAGAGAACCTCAGTTCTCTCCTTTACCAGTTGGAGAACAAAACCCTGAGATGGTGCTTTACCAAGACTGCCCAAAGTGAGGAGAATCTGATCAAAGGCAGATCTTTTGGGTACTGAATGACTGTGGCAGGGAATGGGAGGAAAGATGTAGGTGGGCTGAGATGCCTGGCCAAAACTGCTAGCCATGTCAGACGCTAATAGAGATTTACACAAATTCTAAGGTGTCCACAAAGGAGTAAAGACTGTGTGGGCCTCCTCCACTGATTTGGCTGGAAGGTATCCAAGCTCATTTGATGAGTGCTAATGGTAGGTACACACTCAGAGTTAGGGTGACCGCAACGATCCTTCAGCTGAGAGTCCTTCTAAATAAGTATCTTTTATTCATTTTCATTTATTTTTCTTTCTCCTCCCACCTGGCCTCATACATCATCTGACACTTAAAATACACTCTTAATTAGAAAGTCCTCTTCGCCATCCAACAGCATTATTGGTGCCAAGGACACTGGGCATATTCCAGAAAGTCTGTAGAAGAGGGGTTGGTGAGTGTGAAGGTAATTAGATCCAGAGGGAATGCTCTAAGCTACTTGCTGGATTGTCCAGTGTAAGTTTAGAGAAGCCTGGCTTGGAACTTTTTAAAATGCCCAACTAATACTTGTGACATGTGCTAGGTAGATGATATGGTCCCGATCCAGATCCCTGGTAACATTGGTGAGGGAGGGAGAGGTGCTATAGAATTAGTTCACAGGACAGATAATCCTAGGGTATAACGTATCTAGTTGACCTAGCCCTAAGTACCAACTAGTTGATCTTAAACCTGTCGCTTCACTTCCTTTAACTTACAGATCCTTATCACTTAAATGAAAAGCTTAATATCACCACCATGAGACTACATGGATTAAATTGATTAATCCATATCTAGGTAGCACAGTGCCTTTCTTGCCTTAGAAGTCTGGAAGATTTTGCTCATGATTATAAACTATTATGTAGGCATCCCCAACATCTCTACATGTTAATGACTGTATAACCTGACAAATGCCTTCCATTCTCTGGTCTTGACTCCCTCATCTGTCAAGTAAAGGAGGTAGAGGTGATGGTCTTTAAAACCCATTCCAGCTTGGCTGAGGATGAATGTTAGGGTTCGCCCAAACTCCTGTTAGAGATGGAAACACTGACTTCTCAGCGCTTGATCTTTACTCTTGTACACCAACTTTCCTGATAATGCAACACAACAGATTGACTGTTAATGACAAGTGTGCTCTCAAAGCTATGGTGACTGTGGGGGGGAACTACTCTTCTAAATGAACATCTTCTATTTATCATAATCACTCTCCGTTTCTCTTCTCAGCTCAAATATCATCCTACATTTAAAATAATGGGTTGCCAGAAAAGTCATGACATATTTTTCTGTTTTTCCATACAAAAATGTGTCATGACTTTTCTGACAACCCAATACTCTTATTTAGGAAGTCCTCTTCCCCATCCAACAGTTTTGCAAAACCAATAGCTTTCATTTTTATTATTATTATACCTATAACTTCATTTGCTTCAGGTACAGTATCCATTCTTCAAACAAAAATCTTTCTCGTATGCTCTGTATTCAAAACCAATAAAAGTAAAGCTGCCTGGGTTAAAGGTGTAGTGAGAATGCCCCAAACCCAACTTATTTGTCAAACTTAGCCTTTGCCTTGTCCTTGGGGTGGTCCTAGATGCATGATTAGTAACTGGCAAGGGCCCACAGAACAGTTTGAAAATGACTAATCTAACACGTCCAGATATAAATTTTATTAGAGAAAAGTAACTTACCCTCCTCTTCTTCCATCCTTTATTTATTCATCTTTTTCTTTTGGGGCCACATAGGGCTGTATGACAAATGTTCTTATACCTCGCGTGACCGAGGATGGGTCGTGGGCATTCACACCGTCAGTGACCAAGGCAACAGAGACCCACGCTACTTCTTCTCCTTGAAGACAGACCGGGCTCGGCAAGTGACCACCATCAACGCCCACCGCACCTACCTCCCAGGCCAGTGGGTATACCTAGCTGCTACCTACAATGGGCGGCTGATGAAGCTCTATGTTAATGGTGCCCAGGTGGCAACCTCTGGGGAGCAAGTGGGTGGCATATTCAGCCCACTGACCCAGAAGTGTAAAGTGCTCATGTTGGGGGGCAGTGCTCTGAATCACAACTACCGGGGCTACGTCGAGCACTTCAGTCTGTGGAAGGTGGCCAGGACTCAACAAGAGATTCTGTCAGACATGGACACACATGGCTTCCATACTCCTCTACCTCAGCTCCTCCTCCAGGAGAACTGGGACAATGTGAAGCACTCCTGGTCCCCCATGAAGGATGGGAACATTCCCCAGGTGGAATTTAGCAATGCCCATGGCTTCCTGCTGGACACAAATTTGGAGCCTCCTCTGTGTGGGCAGACGTTGTGTGACAACAGGGAGGTCATTGCCAGCTACAACCAGCTCCCAACTTTCCGCCAGCCCAAGGTGGTACGCTACCGTGTGGTCAACCTCTATGATGATGGCCATGAGAACCCAACGGTGAGCCAACAGCAGGTCGACTTCCAGCACCGGCAGCTGGCTGAGGCCTTCAAGCACTATAATATCTCCTGGGAGCTGGAGTTATTGGAGGTGAACAACTCCTCCCTGCGCCACCGTCTCATCCTGGCCAACTGTGACATCAGCAAAATTGGGGATGAGAACTGCGACCCTGAGTGCAACCACACATTGACTGGCCACGATGCTGGGGATTGTCGTAACCTGCGCCACCCTGCCTTCATGAAGAAGCAGCAGAACGGGGTGTGTGACATGGACTGTAACTATGAACGGTTCAACTTTGATGGCGGGGAGTGCTGTGACCCTGAAATCACCGATGTCACTAAGACTTGCTTTGATCCTGACTCTCCACACAGGTAAGACACTACTGGGCAAAAGATGACCAGTTGAGAGCTGAGCTTGATACCCTCCACTTTAGATAAGTCAGCTAGCTGAAGCCCATAGGATTTACGCAAATTTTCCAGTTCACAGAAAGGCTTCGTGATTGAGCCAAGTCTATTACTCAAGTAATCATGAGGACCACATGCAAGCATTGTTCATTTCAAAAATATTTACTGAGTGCATACCATGAGCTCTGAAGGAAAACTCAGAACCTGTCTTCCCAAAGAACTCAGAGTGTAAATAGGGTGACATGAACTCAATACAAATAGCTGTCGTGTTGTATGTAATAGTGTGCGTTAGAGCTGCATTATCCAATACAATAATCTCTAGCCACATGAGACTATTTAAATTTAAACCAGTTAAAACTAAATACAATTTAAAATTCCATTTCTGAACCATGCAAATCACATTTCAAGAATTCAGTCACAGGGCTCATGGCTACCATACTAGACAGAGCAATATAGAATTCTTTCATCATTGCAGACAAAGTTCTTTTAGGCATTGTTGTCCTACAAACAGCATTTAAAATCTTGGTTCTGATCTCATCTCTGCTACTTCCTCACTTTGTGATTTCTTAGAGACTTTCTTCATCTGTAAAATAGGAATAATAATGATACCTGCTTGGTCAAGTTGGTCTGAGGATTAATTGAGAGAGGGCATATAAAGTGTAATCTCTCTCAGTAGCTAGCATATAATTCACTCTCAATGAGGATATTTGTCATTACTTGTCTGATAAAAAGTAGTATGCTATGTTTAGGGAGTGCCATAAAGCCAAGAGAAAACTTTGACTTGCTGCTTGATTACATAAGAAAAGGCTTCTCTGAGAGAGGTGATAAAGTCTTCTAGAATAGGTGTAATTTGAGGTGTGGAAAGGACAGTTCTAGAGATCTAATGAATTGCCAGATCAATAGAAGAGGTAAAATAGACTAAGTCTGAAAATCTAATGTACAACTTGAGGGCAATAGATAATAAAATTGTACTGTATTTGGGATTTATGCTAAATGCATACATTTAAGTTGTTCTTACCACAAAAAAAATGGTAATAACTATAGTAATCCTTTTACTATCTTTATGTATCTCATAACATATTATATACCTTAACTAGATGCAATACAATTTATGTTTTTAAAGGTATATATAATTTTGATATCAGAGACTGGACTGTAAGAGAAATAAAGACACTCCAGGTGGAGAGAATTTCTTCATTTACACTGCTGAGAAGATAGAAAGGGAGGTCCTCTGTCCAAATGCTTCACTTAGCTTCTGGCTTAGGTTGTCAGCTCTAACCAGTAATCCCAAAGTGGAACCCAAAGGTGAATTAAGAGTGAACTATGTTAGATAAGGACCTAAAGGAATTAATTTCAAGCCAGAATGACAACCAACATCCACTTTCTAGTTTTTGCTAGATTCATACTGAACTTTTTCACTCTGTCCAACACACAGGACCCTGGACTTGCTGATGGCTGGAGGACATTTGCCAACCTCTGCAGGTTTTCTGCTGACTCTTCTCTTTACGTTTCTCTCAAAAGAGCAAGGGCCTCCCATGCACAGACAAAATACCTATGTGCAAAGGAATGGCCATGCTGGCAGGAGAATGTCGTGTCTGGCAGTGAGTCAGAAAGCACATCAGCTCAGTTTCCTGGCACCAGGAGGGCCCCTGGACTCTCACCTTGGTTCCAAGACATGAGCAGTCCATGTGAGAAGCATTGGTGTGTGGCCAGTCCCTTCCAGGTCACAATGCAGTGTCATTTCTGCTCTCATTTGGACCTTGTTAGAATTTGGCAAGGGAAGCAAGATAGGGGTTAATATTTGCATTTGTCTGGTGGGGAAATAGAGAAACCTTGGAGAGTAAAGTGACTTAGCCAAGTTCACAGGTCAGGAAAGTCACTAAGCTAAATCATAAATGCACGTTTTCTGTGACCAATGTATTGTGTGTTCTTCTGAGCTAGACTCCTAGGTATAACTGAAGTCATTCATCCATGTGTATATCCATTCATTTGTTCATTCATTCGTTCATGCATACATGCAACAAATGTTTATTCAACATCTGCTAAGTGCCAGGGAGGTGAATTCCCTTAGATTATTTTATTGAAAAGAATCAGGATTGAAAAAGATGAAGGAACTTATCTAAGGTCACCTTGCTAATAAAGAGATAGCTTCAATTTGAACCCAGGTCTACCTATTCCAAAGCTCCTAGTAAGGGGAATACATATAAATCTGAGGAATACTAAGATACAGAATTAAAGATGGGGTGACAGGTTGGATGACTTTACTGAAGCCTTAGGCAGAAGCTGATGTTGTTGATTGGGTCAAGACCAAGGACAGCTGGACTTTGCATAGCTTCATGCTGGTGTGAAGGGGCCATGGGGCTCTGGGTTCTTGACACCTCACAATCAACAGCCAACACTATCAGGCTCCAAAAGCTTTCTCTTTTCTAAGTCATGGAACTGCATGCCCCTAATGTCTGAGAGAAGCCATGTGCCAGCACTGTGAGCATTCACATCACTGCCAGTTTGTTTGCTGGCCTGGGAGAGCTGTGTGCCCTGGATGAGGCCCACTAGGCCATGTGTCATTTCCTGAAAAGTCTAGGGGTTACTGATTTCTGGCTGAATCAGCTCTCCCGTGTGCAGATAGAAATCTGTGGAAGGTGGAAGAGAATTATTTGCTTTGTAGCTTTAACCGAAAAAGAGAGAGAGGGAGGTAGGCAGGAAGGCACCTGTAACAGAAGCAATAAAAATTAGGCTTATATTATCTAAGTAATTTTTAATGAAGAGCTGGATTTAATTCTATGTATCTAGTCTGTCTGTTTCTGTGTCTGTCTCTATCCTTCTCTATCTCCTTCTGTCTTTATCTCTTTCTTTCTTAGTAGGCAAAGACAATATTTAAAGTACTGCTTTTCAATTTCACAATCTACAGTGAAGGGCCAGTTTCAGTTTTTTAAATTTTTTTTGTTGTTGTTGTTTGTTTTATTTTGTTTTTGTTTTCCTATACATGTTGCAAACGATTACCTTTGTAACAGACAACACAAAGGAATTGATAGAAAAATAAAATGCCTTAAAAAATAATGTCAGGGTTCTCTCAAAGTTTTTCAAATGCTGATTCTCCATTGATTTCCTCAGTGTTTCATGGGCTAGTAAGGAACAATTGTGTGGACTGCCTTCTTTGAGCAGCACTGTTTAAAAATCATCATTTGTACATTTTCTGTAGCAATTCCTTTGAGTAAAATAGGACCCAAAGTAATGTAGCTAGACATATTGGGAGACCCCATCAGAAAAGTATTATTTCTTTTTTTTATTTTTATTTATTTTTTTTGAGAGGTTTTTGCTATAGGGTAGGTGCACTCACCCGAAAGACAGAGAGACAGAAAGTGAGAAATCATCCCCCAGCGGGGATGGCCATACCACAATCCCTTCTCCTCGATTCTCTTCTCGGGATCTTGGACATGCACACACACGCCTAGCATGAGTTTAAGCCACCAGGTCTGGGACTCGAACTGTGATTTACTACATGGGAGTCCAGGAACGTAGTCATTATGCTATCTGCTGGTCCCAGTACTATCTCTTTTTACACATTTACACTCTTACTATTAGTAGTCCTGGTACCTGTAGGTCCATGTTCTCAGAAATGCTTGTGTTACAGGAAAGCACCAGTCCCCAAAGAAGGGGTTGTAGAAGTCATCAGTTGCCAAACTTAGAAACATTCTCAGATCTTATTGAGTCTAATACCCTTATCCTCCATAGAGGGAAACTGAGGCCAAAGTATATACACTCTATTCGTGGTAAAGCCAGTTGGGAGGTGGGAGTGGCACTGCAGGTTTCTGACCCCTGGCCATCTGTGGAATCCACTTTCCCAGCCCTCTTCTGATGATTTTTCAACTGCAGACACCTGCCACCTCACATTCTGTCCTTACTGTCTTCTACCCAGTTCTCCTGAGAGTTTAGGTCTGTGAAGTGCTGAGTGAATGAGTTTGGAAGAGAATTGGATAATGGCTTTGGGTTTCCATGAACTACTTCAGAACTATTGAAGCTACTTTGGCAGTGGGTTTTCCTTTTTAAGAGGCAGTGATAAGGACAGCCAATGGAAGGTATGGAAGATGAGGACTGGGACAATGAGGGGACTGGGAACTGTGCCATATAACTATTTGAAGATATTTGGCTTGGAGAAGAAAATTCTCATAGGGCCATGACCACAGAGTCATGATCACATACACTTCAAGTCTCTGAAGTCCTGTCCTGTGGAAGTGGTGGAAGAATTATTCTATACGGTTTCCAAGCCATGACTAGGACCAACTATTGCAATTAAAGGAGGTAACTTTGAGCTGAGTCAAAAATGACATCATCTCCAGACAGAATGGCCCTTCTGGAGGAGTACTGCTCTGAAGGCACATCAATTCCCTATCGCTAGAGGCATGAAAGTCAGTGCCGATAGCCATATCTGGGATGGCAGCACTGGCAGAGAAGTTGGCTTTGATGGTCTTTGGTTTCAGAGATTGAGCAATGCAACTTTTCGCTAATATCTTATTCCATGTCATTTTATTTTTTAAAAATTTTTATTACTATCATAATCTTGTTTATATTACATTAAATTGCATATAACTTTCCAGTGTATTACATTTCTTTTTCCAGAAGGAATACCATTCATATAAGTCAATACAAAGAAATTCAAATCCCCATCATTATCATCCAATAGCTTTGCATTTTTTTCCAGATTATTATTATTATTATTCCAATTATTGTTTAAACATTCAATCACTGTTTATCATTTTGCTTGTAAAAAAACTTTACCCGACATGAAATACCTCTCAGACCTGTCTAGTTGAGAATACTATACACGTCATCAACAGGTAATAAACTGTATCTGAATCCCACTAATGTCATGCCTCTCTATTTGTTCTCTTGCTAACCTTCTACATGTCATTTTAGAAAACCAAATGGTGACTGTTCTTCTTCTCTTTAACAGGCATTTATTAAATATG